AGACCCTTAGATTGATAATTAATAATTTCATGTACTCAACAACTAAGGGTACGTTCATATTTACTTATTTTCAGTTCAGTTCAGTTCAGCTCCAATCAGTTCAGTTCAGTTCAGTTCAGCTCCAATTAGTTCAATTCAGTTCAGCTCTTAATTTCCCTCTCATAAAATATTCATTTCAGCTTAGTTCAGTTCAGTTTAGTTCAGCTCCAATCAGTTCAGTTCAGTTTAGTTCAGCTCAGTTCAGTAAATATGAACAGGCCCTAAGAAATTGTGAAGGAATTTGGATCCTCTCTACTCTTTGCTCCTTTCATTTAACATGGATGGAATGACAACGATTATGATGAAGTTATAATTCATGAACTCCTTCAAATCAATTGTGATAACTTTGTGTTAAAACAACTTGTTATAAAATACTACCTCCATTATGTGCAACGATTAGACATTTTCCCTCTCTGCTTTATGTCAAATCGTTGCACATAACCTGTAACGGAGGAAGTAATTAAAGATAACCTTTAATGTCTAGTTTTTATAATTGTCATCGAGTTTATGAAATGAAGGAAAGATATATGGACCAATTGACTTCAATAAAATGTTTGGATTTTCATGCAGCAACTCTCTTGGTCACTAGAATACGAGGATTGGCTTGCTGCACAATGTGGCTGCCCTCTCGCCGAGGAATGGAGGAAGGCTATATTTTTGGGGAGATTAGTCCATGCGCACAAGGAACCAGAGACTTATCGCGATGAATGGGATGATGACGACTTGGTCTTGCAAGCTTATGAAGATTTTATGCAGTACTTGAATGCTGAAGGTAGGGCTGCGCTTGCTGCATGCGCCTCCACACCAAGAGTTTAAACTCTCTATCTTATTGATGAAAGGTTTTTTACTTGGGAGTTTTTTCGTTTGTGTTTGAGAACTTTTTAAGTAAGAAACTATTTGGAATTGTAAGACAAAACTTTTCATTTAAGAGCTTTATTGGTTCTCAATGGTTCTCTCTTTCAATTCCTTTTCAAAATTATTGTTTGAATATGTGATAAATAAATTTTGTTTATCCCAGATATTAATTGGGGCTTTTTCGAAAGAAACCCCAAAGGAGACCAAAAGTCAATAAAAAAGACAACATTGGAGGGTGAAGGGGGGGGGGGAACAAAAGGAGACCTGTGGCTCTCAAATTTGGCGCGAATCAGACAAAAAGCTAGGTCAATTGGGGTTTTTATTAACTGTGCTAAATTGAAAATCAATTATAATTATAATAGTGTTTATTAGAATGTGATGACGAATTTTGAGTTAATATCCCCAAATGTGTCACCATAAACAAATCCCTTACTTCTTTTTAAAATTCTTAAGTACTTCGTATTAAACAACAATACATAACTTTTTTCTCGATTGCATTTGAGTATTGAAGCATAAAGAATGATTTTCGAAAACCCATAAAGTTTACTTACTCTGTATTAAAGTAAAGAATATGGTCGAAGAGTAATACGGAGTACTCCGTAACAATTAAATAAGTGAGGTACATGTAAAGAGAGATACATTATACAATACATAAAAAACGACCGATTCAAAAAAGCTAAAATTGCTATTAGCCGACATAAAAATACTCAAGCTGACATTATTAATGACCATGTTACCCTTACTTTCAAATGCTATTACACTACCACTAGTCCACCACTACTAATACCCCGGCCATCGTCACCACCGCCACATTTTGACTAATTAATGAATGCATAGAGTTATGCAAAATTAAACCAAATTAAGGACCCATATTAGATGCAAAATTGTTAATTTTGACTAATTATGAAAAATCGAATTAGATGCAAAACATTAATTTTGACTAATTGACTAAATATTTTTGAAATATTAAAAAAAATGAATTTTAAAAAATAGAAAAAAAAAACTGTATCGTGGACATCCGAAGGAGATGTCTCTTACGTGGTAGGGACATCTCCGACAAATGTCTTTACCAACAGAAGATCATCTACAACAGATGTTCTCCACGTCCACCACGTGGAGACATCTGAACACTACAAGAAAAATCTCTTTTCGTAGCGATTATTTCGTAGCGATTGTACATTCGCTACAATGTGCAATTATGTTTGTGAAATAATTAAGGATGTCGTATCATTTTTACAATCGTCATGGTTTTCCCATATAAAATCGATACGGAAAACATAATAATACATATCCACACTATTTTTACACATTTATATAATTTTGAGAAATCGTATCATTTACAATCGCCACTAAATCCTAAAAATCGATACGAAAAGCCTTTTCAACACTAGATATATAAATATTGTTTGACAAAGAATACTAAAATATGTCATAGCTTATTAGTAAAACATTTAATATAAGAGTTTAAGGTTGATTGCATGTTCGAATCTTGTAAAGATCATACACATGTTTTTTTTTTTTTTTTTTTTTAAGAAAATGAGTTAAACATTTATAGCGATTGTAATCGCTACAATAATCACCACAATTGGATGTAGTTTTTCGTATCGATTATTGAGGTCAACCGCAGCGATATTGAAAACCACTACTAAAGGCTAAGGCAACGGGGGATATTGTATCGAATGACCATTCGTTGGGAAAGCTTTTTGTTGCAATTACAATCGATACTAAAGGTTAAAATAATCGCTATGAAAAGGTTATTTTCTTGTAGTGGAAGGAGATGTCTCTAACGTGGTACGGACATCTCTGACAGATGTCTCCACTGTTGAAGGGACATCTTCGACAAATGTCTCCACCCTGTTGAGGACATCTCTAGTACATGTCTCCGCTGTGGGAGGGACATCTCCGATAGATGTCTCAACCATGTTGAGGACATCTCCGACAAACGTTTGTAACCAACAAAAAATATAAAAAAACTTACTGACACTTTCCCCTGAAGTTGTTTCCCTTGACAAGGCTGGTTCGCGCTCGCCTTGGTCGACGGAGATCGGTTGGTGTTGTGTGGTGGGCTACTGTCGTCAGGTTGTGATGGTGCTATTGGTGGTGGTAGTGTTGTAGGTGGTGGTGGCTAGGCATGGAAATGGATCGGGTTCGGGGCGGGTGGACCATCACCCACCTCCATCCACCCCACCCGATCCATCCACCACCTGCTATAACATCCACCCATCACCCTCGGGTGAAACGGATGGTTCGGGCCAAGTGACAATCGGATGTAAAATATGAGAATTTAAAATGAATAAAAAAATTACATAAGGTGTTGAAGGACGAACCGATGAATCATACCCAGATTCATTACCATCCAAAACATCATTTCATATACCTAAATTAGCATCAAATTCACACCAACAATTAATTAAAAAAAAGTAGCAAATTCAAATATACATATGAATCTTAAACACAAGCAACAAAGTCGTGAAAATAACCTTAAAACAAGCATAAAATCGAATTAATTTCGTGAAAAATAAGGCAACAACTTTGTGAAGAAAAAGGTAGCAAATTCGTGAAAAAAAAGGCGGCGTTTTCCTTGCTGAAGTTGCTACTACTGCGTTCCTATATATGGTGCCACCGTGAGGCAGAGTCGCAGAGAGAGGGAAGAGAAAGAGGCAAAGAGCGGTGGTGGTTTTTTTTTTTTTTGAACCTTAGGGTTTAAAAATTACAAATATTGAATAAGGAGTAGGGACATTAGCTTTAGTTGGGCCTGGCCCAATATAAAAATTCGGAAATTTAAATGAAATATTCGGGTGATGGATCGGGTTAACATGTCGGGTGATGGGTGGAAATTTTCCGCCCGAATTCGATTCGCCACCCACATCCGTTAACCCATCACCCACCTATCATCTGTTTTGGGTGTTTTTGTCCCTCGGGAGAGTTACAACACGAAGACTGATTCGGGGTGAGCTGTACCTGCAAAACAAACGGAGACACCAGTTGGGTGGTGCTCCGCCTCCGACGCACAAGTTAGAAACTTGAAGGGAGAAAAAAGGTGCGGAAATTTAGGTAGGGATATGCTCGGATTCCAAGCTCAGGATGTCTCTATCAAAGAGTAAATGTGTAATAAATGGATAAAACGTGTCCTCAAAATGAGGGACATCTCCCTATTTATAGGATCTTTTGGAATTGTGCCCCTGATTAGGTTACTGAACCCTAATCATTGGTGGGATGCGCCGTTTGGCGGCATTCTCGGGATTTGGGCCTGAAGGCCGCCTTTTCCCTTGATTTCGGGAATGACACGTGTCAAGCAGGGATTGGTCCAATTTAGACCAATCTGGGGCTGACACGTGTCACCTTCTGATTGGGCCACGTGGCAGGGTAAAATTATCCTAAACATTTGCCCCTCACAGATGTGACGTGGCACGCCACGTGGCATCTGTGAAACATGTCACGTTCCGGCTGGCGGTAATTTTACCGTTACAGAGTAACCGTTCATCTTCCGGGTAAATTACGGAAATGCCCCCAAATTTACCCTCTATATATAGCCGTTTTACCCTCATAATTTTGTACGTTTACAAAAATTTTCTAGAGAGAAAAACTTCGAGAGAGCAGAAGTCATCCGTTTGAGTCAGGCGCGAGCAAGAAACTTTGTTCTTCCGCAACCCAGCCGGACCCGCCTTCCTTCAGATATCAAATCCAAAGGTACCGTCTCTGTCTCTCTCAGCTCTTTTCTTTTTTTCACCGCTTGTACATATTTTTTGCAATAAATGGATGCATCACCAACACACACGGCACAGCCTAGGTTAGAGTCCAGCCGGTCACCAGGGACGGCTGAGTCTAGGACTGGGAGTGCCGGCTCGGGGTGTTGGGACCACCCTTTTCCATGGATTCCGACCAGTTATGTGTTTGTGCAGGACACCATGGCTCGGACAATGCAGACGGCCACTGATCCGAATTATAGAAGCGAAGGCTCAGGCGGCCAAACGCCTGAGGGAGAATCGTCTGGTCAGGGAGACTAGACGGCTCTAGAGAGATCCCCTCCGCGCGCCCCTTCAACCCCTGTTGACTCTTTCTTGGAAGAGTGTGACCAAGGTGGCGACCAGGCCGCCTCTGCCCCCATGGACCAAAGCGAGGGGGAGACGGAGAGTGACAGCTCCGCCTCTACCTCCGAGAGCAGCAATGACTTGCCCCCTCTTCCGAATAGCGAGGAGGAAGAAAGGAAAAAGTGGAGTGAGAAGGATGATCCCTTCAGCATCCACGTCTCCTCCAAGGACCGAATCCAGATGGGGGAGAACTTAGAGAACTTTAAGAAAATGCACCCACTTGGAGACGGGTATAAGATCCGGGTGCCGCCTGAGCTGGGCACCATCGCTTAGGGGGATGATCAAGAGAACGCCAACAGCTATTTTGGCTGTTATGAGGTGGCGTTCAAAGCCGACCTTCGCTTCCCCCTTCACCAGGCGGTGAAGGCAATTTTGAGAGGCTACGACCTTGGGGTCTGGCAAATTACCCCCCAACTCCTGGACCAACATTCTGGGGTATGTTGCCGCCTGCGAGTTCCAAGGGCTTAACCTCGGCTGGGAGGCCTTTGCAAGCATGCATTACCTCAGCAGAAGCTCAGGCGGCTGGAGGGTGTGGTATACTCTAACTACACATCCGCAATACATGATGACCTTGGACAAGGTCTCCAAGTTCGATGGCTGGAAGCACAGGTTCTACCTGATGTCAGCCCCAACCAGACGGGAAAATTATGAATTCCGTCTGTACAATAAGAAGCCCGACTTGTTGGGCAGGAAGTGCGCTCTTCCCCGGATCCCAGAGGAAGACTTTGACAAAATAATCGAGGCAGACTTTTTTCGGCCTCACAGACGCAACTCTGTCAACCGGGGAAACAATAAAAGTCCCTAAGAATTGGATTCCCAAGAGCGCCTAGTTCAGGGATGAATGTTTCCTAGCCGCCTGCGGGCTAGGGCACATGTTTAATAAACGTATGCGCCTGGGTTCACACCGTCTGTAGTATTTTTCTATCGGAATTGATTTATGATTCTGATAAATTTCTTTCTTTTTGCAGAAGAAGCGCTAAACATGTTGCAATCGGAGAAAACTCCCAAGCGGTCTTCTGCGACCATCCGCAAAGATCTTGCGGAGAAAGCTGCGGCCGAGCTCAGGGCCAAGGTATTGAGCGCCTGACCCTTTCTTAAGTTTATTTTATAAATTGTCTTGCCCGGATACTAACCTTTACTTGTTTATTTTCACAGGGGGGAGAAGTTGGGAAATCGTTTGAGAAGAATCTCAAACGGGCTAGAGAGGAGGCCCCAGCCGTTCTCAATAAAATAAAAAAGTCTGCCTCTGCGTCAACTCCTGGCGCCTCAGCCGGGGCTAAGACGATGCGGATAGCGGGGCGACTCGAGAAGGTAGGCGGCAGCCTGTGCCTTGATCTCGCCAACCCCTCGGCAGCCGCGGGGTTCACCACGCTTGCAAGCGTTTCCCGCTTGGCCGGCTCTGAAGGTAAGAACCCTTTTGAATCCCCGCTTGAGCTGGGGTGGCCTTTACGGGTGAAATCCCACTCCCAACAGACGTCATCCTCAGTCGGTCGGCAACAGATAGATGCTGCCTTAGTTTCGCACTCATCACGTATTGATTGTGGTGCAGATCAATCTCCCCGCTGACCAGACGTCCAGAAGCACGCCAAGGCCATGCTGGATGCCGTCCGGAAGAGGGATAAGGACAATATCCTTGGGATAGAGACGTTCAATCTTGAACGCATTCTATCCCTTCTGGCTGAGGTAAGAAACTTGTCAATTCAATGTTATTTTTTCCAAGTAATTATCTCGCCTGTAATTCTTATACCGCATGCTTTTTCCAGGCCGTGCTGCGGGTGGATGGGCTCAAACCTCCTTATTCCCGCAAACGGGATGAGGTAAAAAGGGCCAAGAAGTCCGCCATAGACGCTGATAATATTGCTTTCCACTCAACTATTGTAAATGAACTTGAAACTAAAGCAATAATTATGACAGACGTCTAAAATCCAGCAGTTGGAGCTAGATCTAAAGGCGGCCGACCAGCGGGCAACGGATGCTGAGACGGCCAAGAAAGGGGCGGAGGAGGCCCGGAAGAAGGCAGACGAGAGCGCCAAACAGGCTGATGAGGCGCTCAAGAAGGCCCAGGCGGACCTTGGCAAACTGAAAACCAAGGTTGAGAGGCTGGAGAAGGATGCTTCTCAAGCTCAGAAAAAATTTGCAGCAACCCTAGAGGCGGAGCAAAACCGCCTTGTTGCTGAGAGTGATGCTGACAACGACGCCTGTATGAAGATTGCTTGGGCTGCCTTGTACCCAGACGTTGATTATAGCATCTGGGCAATGGCACACAGCTATGCCGAGTACGTGGTGTACTTGAGAGAGCAAGGTGAGCCAGAGCCTGCCTCCTTTGAAGCCTGGCTCAGCAACAATGAGCCAACCGCGCCTGAGCTTCCTGGTCCCGGCGAAGCGCACCAAATTCCCTCAGATGATGAGGAGAAGGGGGAGAACCAGGAGGCTCCGTCTGCAAGCCAGAAGTGACCCCTCAACGGTAGTATGCCAGTCTTTGCTTTTTTAATTCCTTTTTATTCAGCGGCTGTATGCCAAAAATTGCTTTTTCCGGCCTGCGTGCCGAGTATTTGTGTTTTTACCGGCTATGGAGCCGGGTTAATTAACAATTTCTTTCTCCCGGACGGGGTCCGGTTAACATTTGATCCATTACAACCGTTTGGTTGGATGGACTTTTATGAATTGCACCGACTGAGTCGGTTTTGATCATTTTGCATTTGAATTTTAATTTTTGCCTATCTTATGAAAAGCATGCGACGATTTTTTGCCTAACTAGTCAATAGTCTGGCTGTCCTTGCCCCTGGACGGCTGTGTAATTGGTTTCAATTGGAGCTGGTTGATTGACTTGAAAACGTCTGATGCTGCAAAGAGCATGATATGTTTGTAAGTCAATCAATCACAGTAGTGATTGCCCCAATCCAAGTGCATAGCCGTACACCAACAGGCGTTTTGGTCACTACCCAGACGGCTTATGCCCGTCTTGGTAGAGATTTCATAGCCATTGAACTCTTGCCCCAATTAGGGTGAGGTGCAATTTTAAAATAAATAACCTAAGTGAGAACTTCAGCCGGTGACCGACTGATGCCTATGGGCATCCGGTATTTAGGAACTTATTCGTTCTTCGTAGGTTATTTTGGTCAGACGGCTATGAGTTGACCAATTTGGTCGTTCAATTTTTGCCGTCTGCATGGATACGTAGAACCGACAGATAATCTGTTCTCTGCGACGATTGCACCCAGAGGGGTGTCGCCGGACGCCTTTGTCCATGTTGGGACAGGCGATTTTATAAAAATAGCAACCATCCGTCCATTTTAGCCTCTGGTCTTGTTTGAGACTGGTTGTGTAGCGACTAAACGTTTTTGTGCTTAGTGTCTTAATCAGTGTTGAATTTACACTAAGTATTGAACTTAGTTTTTTAAGCAAACGAGTCTGTCTGAGTATTACCCAGACGGACATGCAAATATTTGATCATGCTAAGTATCAAACTTAGTTAGATAAAGGGAGAATCCGTCTGAGTATTACCCAGGCGGATTGTCAAGAAGTTGAATAAACAAAGTATCAAATTTAAATAAACAAGGGATCCGAGCATTACCTAGGCGGATAAACAAATGTAACCTTCACTAAGTATCGAACTTAGTTAGGTAGATGGGGAATCTGCCTGGATATTACCCGGATGGATAATCAAACGATAACTCAGTTTTGCAAACAGAGACTGAATCTTCATTAATTGACTCACTGTTTACAAAAAGTTACATTCTCAGAAGTAGTACTTTTTTAGATTGTCTACATTCCAAGTTCTAGGCAGGCGCCTGCCGTCTGGAGTTTCCAGGCGGTAGGTGCCGTCCCTTACTTCTTCATAGATCCGGTAGGGGCCTTCCCAATTTGGGGTTAGCTTTCCCAGCTCATTGGCCCTACCGGTTGCCTCCATTTTTCGTAACACTAAGTCGTCAACTTTCAAAGGACGCTTGTGTACTTTTTTGTTGTAGGCTCTCGTCATTCTCAGACGGTAAATCTCATGACGCAAGGCGGCATTGCCCTTGCGTTCTGGGAGTGAATCCAATGCCAGACGCATTGCTTCCCAGTTTGCCTCTTCGTCATACAGCATGACTCTGAGAGTCGGCTCGTAATGTTCGATGGTCAAGACGGCTTCAGCACCGTAAACCATGAGAAATGGGGTTTCACCGGTTGCCCCTTTCGCTGTTGTCCGGATGACCCACAGGACATGGATTAATTCTTCTGCCCATAAGCCACCGGCTCTTTCTATTTTCTTTTTAATGCCGTCTGAGATGAGTTTGTTGAAAGCTTCAACTTGGCCGTTTGCTTGGGGCCGGCCAACAGATGCGAAATAGCTTGAGATCCCTTGATCTCCCAACCAAGTTTTTAGCTGAGGCGTCTCAAACTGAGGACCATTATCAAACACCATAGACATGGGTACCCCGTACCGGGTGATAACATTCTTCCAGATAAAGGAAATGACGTCTGAGGTCTTGATGTTTTTAACCGCCTCAGCCTCCACCCACTTGGTGAAGTAATCCACAGCCACCAAGATGTAGCGCTTTCCGCCTGGAGCAGGCGTGTAGGAACCTAGAATGTCCATGCCCCATTTTGCAAACGGGATTGGGCTGTGGATGGCCGTCAGATCAGTAGCCGGACGGTGAATGAGTTTGCCAAATTTTTGGCACTTGTCACATTTCTTCACCAACTCCTTGGCGTCTGCCTCAGGAGTGGGCCAAAAGTACTGTCGTCTGGCTCTGACGGCTAGGGACCTGCCGCCTATGTGAGAGGCGCAGAATCCCGAGTGCAAGTCTTCGAGAACTACTTTCCCCTTTTCTGGGGTGACACACTTCAACAAAGGCTTCAGAAACCCCGCCTTAAAGAGTTCTCCATTTTTCAACTCAAATCTTGCAGCTCGCTTTTTCAGGACGGCTGCTTCCTGTGGCGAATCAGGAAGTGTGCCGTCTGAGAGATAGGCCCGGATGCCATCCATCCAGGTAGAGCTTCGGTCCAGAATTCCAATGGGATCCTCATGGATGCTTCTCTTTTCAAGAACTTCCCAGAAGACTGACCGAGGCATATCATGGCAGGCGGAAGATGCCAGCTGTGACAATGCATCCGCCTGGTTGTTTTCCGACCTAGGCACCTGATTCAGCCGGAATTCCTCAAGTGCCTTGGTCTCTTCTTTGACTGCCTGAAGATATTTAATAATAGTCGGATGGGTAGCCTCATAACTTCCCTCATACTTGCTAACAACCAATTGAGAATCAGAGTAGGCGTCAATTTTCATGGCCCCTGCCGCCTTACACATGCGTATGCCGGCTAGCAGGGCTTCATATTCTGCCTCATTGTTAGAGGCCTGAAACTTGAAGCGCAGTGCATATTCAAATCTGTCTCCTTCAGGAGATTCATAAATTACGCCTGCACCACAGCCGTTCTTTGTAGAGCTCCTGTCCACGTACACTTTTCAAACCTGATCAAGATTATCCGGAGCCACCGGACGAGTCATTTCCACAATGAAGTCGGCAAACGTCTGACCTTTCACTGCCTTTCTTAGTTCGTAAGTGATTTCAAGGCTCTGCATTTCAATAGCCCATTTCAACATTCTCGCGGATGAGTCCAAGGTAGACATTGGCCGCTTGAGTGGCTGGTCCGTGTAAATCACCACCGGATGTGCCAAAAAGTAAGGCTTCAATTTTTTGAATTCCATATACAAAGCAAAGCCAAAATTTTCAACCATGGGGTACCGGAGTTCAGCATTTTTAAAAACATGGCTAATGAAATAAACCAGGAGCTGCACGCCGTCTCGCTCAGCAAGGAGAACGACACTGAGGGCATGGTCTGAGACGGCTAAATACATGTACAACGTCTCCCTAGGCAAAGGACTGACCAACCTAGGTAGAGAATGTAAATGCTCTTTCAACCTCTGGAACGCCGCCTCAGTATCATCCCCCCATTAAAAATCTGGTCTTCTTCCTGATTGCTTGGAAGAAGTAGAGGCATTTGTCACCTGACCGGCTGAGGAACCTCCCTAGGGCGGCCAGACAACCGGTGAGTCTCTGAACTTCCTTGACAGAGCGGGGTGACTTCATGTCAATCACCGCCTGTATCTTTTTGGGGTTAGCCTCAATCCCCCTTTGATCAATCAGAAATCCGAGAAACTTCCCAGACTCAACACCAAAGACGCATTTCTTAGGATTTAACATAACCTTATGTCGCCTGAGGATGGTGAATGTTTCTCGGAGATCAGCCAGGTGATCCGTCTGTAGCTTGGATTTGACTATCATGTCATCAATGTACGCCTCCACATTCCTCCCAATTAGATTGATGAAGACCGTACTAATCATCCGTTGGAAAGTGGCAGGCGCATTTTTCAAGCCAAACGGCATCACCGTATAACAGAATAACCCCTGATCAGTGACGAAGGCCGTCTTCTCTTGATCCTTTTTCCACAGGGGTATCTGATGGAAGCCGGAGTAGGCATCCATAAAACTCATCAAGGCGTGGCCGGCTATAGAATCGACCAGACTGTCGATCTTTGGAAGCGGGTAACTGTCCTTTGGACACGCTTTGTTGAGGTCTGTGTAATCAACACACATGCGCCAGGTCCCATTCGGTTTCTTAACAAGGACCACATTGGCCACCCAGTCGGGGAAATTACAAGGTCGAATGAACCTGGTGTCTAGCAGCTTTTTGACTTCGGCAGCTGCCGCCTGACTTCTTTTCTCGCCGTGATTTCTTTTCTTTTTCCGGATGGGCTTCTTTTTGGGGTCCACGACGAGCTTGTGGACAACAAGATCCGGGCTGACGCCTAACATATCTTCCACTTCAAATGCAAAAATGTCTTTGAATTCTTTCAGCAGAAGGTGCAAGCTTGCACCCAAGGTAGAATGAGCAACCGTCCCAACCTTAACAGTATGTTTTGGACGGCTGTCATCCAGAACGAGATCAATGCTTTCGCCAGCCGGTTGGGGACGGAGCTCATCTGACCGTTCACCGGTCAGTGATTGCTATTTTTTCTCTTTTTTCACCTCCACCAGCAGAGGAGCCTTTCTTTTCTTTCCGGCTGCTGGTGGAGCAGGAGCTGGGTCGGCATCCTTGACATTGTCAAGGTCTATTGGTTCCTGACCGCCTGGGGCCACGGTATCTCGGACGGCTGAGAGATAACACTCTCGGGCCGTCTTCTGATCCCCGTTCAAGGAACCAATAGAGCCATCATCCCTCTCATACTTGATGAGCATGAAGGAAGGGATGATTACTGCCTTGGCTACGTTGAGGGTTGGCCTGCCAAGAATGATGTTATAGGCGGTCAACTCCTCAACGACCAAGAATCTGACGACAATATGTCGTCCCTGGCCTTTCTCTCCCAGCCGGATGGGTAAGTCAATTCTCCCGGCTGGGTAGACCATCCCACCCCCAAAACCAACCAAGGGGTGGGTGACCGGATGCATGCTGCTGACGTTGTATTTCAGCTTTTG